ATTTAAAATAGCACAACTGTCAAAATTACTGCACACGCGAGTGCATATAAAGCAAAATTTATGCATTTATTTAATGCACAACAACAGTAATATGATCTATTAGCAATTCGATTTCAATTCCCAGGGGCCTAAAATCTTTTATGCTTAAGAATTGCAAACTGATTTCTTAGGAAATTCCGAGGTTGCGTTTTTTTTTATACACCCTGTATAATTATGGAGCTCGGGAGCTGAAAACATGCATTAAGCATACAAAGAACTTACTCTCAGTGTAAATGAGACAATTGTTTAATATTAAAATTTCGCTTAAAAAAAATTCATAAGAAATCTACAGGGTGTATAAAAAAAAACGCAACCTCGGAATTTCCTAAGAAATCACTTTGCAATTCTTAAGCATAAAAGATTTTAGGCCCCTGGGAATTGAAATCGAATTGCTAATAGATCATATTACTGTTGTTGTGCATTAAATAAATGCATAAATTTTGCTTTATGCACTCGCGTGTGCAGTCATTTTGACAGTTGTGCTATTTTAAATTCCCAGGCGCCTAAAATCTTTTGTCTTCAAAACAATGTCGATTTCTTGGGAAATTCCGAGGTTGCGTTTTTTTTTATACACCCTGTACAGTATACCCGCTCTGGGATTTGACTGATTGTCTGTTATATGTGACGGGAAAACACTGGAAGTATACAGGGTGTCTCAAAAAACCCCAAAATCATTGAAATTGACGTATTGTTCGATATTCAATGCACTAGCACTAAGTTAATCCCACGAGTGCATAAAAGATTGACATAACTGCTATAATGAATGGTAATACTCAGCGTAAACTTGTTATGTCAGGCATAAAGTACTAAACCCACGAATGCATATTACGCATATTACAATTTACGAAGCATTTTTAATTCCCATGAGCAAACAAACGTTCACTTTACAAAGATATTTTAATTTTTTAAAACAAATTAATCACCCTGTCAAAATCCTTTGTGTTACGGCATTGAAATTCGAACAATACGTTATTTCAATGATTTTGGTTTTTTTTGAGACACCCTGTACAGGGTGTATAAAAAAAAAGGAGACCTTTAGAAATCAAGCATATTGTTAAAATTTGAATGCCATTTCAATTGCACATATGCTGAACTGTGATATTGATGGAGTGCATATATTAGAAAAAGGAGACCTTTAGAAATCAACCATTGTTATAATTTGAATCCTGGAGCACTTTGCTAAGCACATGGCAGATTGTTCCCAGGAGCAGACAATCTTTTGTTTAAAAGTCATTTCAAATTCTAAAGGTCTCCTTTTTCTAATGTATGCATCATCAATATTTCACGCAATACGGTTAGCATATGTGCAATTGAAAAGGCATTCAAATTTTAACAAAATGCTTGATTTCTAAAGGTCTCCTTTTTTTATACACCCTGTAGAACGCTTGTCTGCCTTTTATCTATATAGCACTTTGAAATGACAGATATTTTTGTATAAGGCAACCATCAGAAAAATTAAATTCTCATATCACACTACAGGGTGCATGTATAAAAAAATGTACATGTACCCTTTCAAATTAGCCATAACCTTTTAAATATTCGTTGCTCTGCAGTAAGCTGGCCCATTTTATATCTTATGCAGACTTGAATAATGCTTAATTTAATTTAAACATTTTTCTTTGAGTTGTGTGTTTGTTCATACAAATAGAAGTTATCCTAAATTCCCATATGTAGAATACCTTGTGTTTTCACGCATTCATTAATTCGAAAAATTATATACGGCTGTCAAATTACTACAATATAGGTTATGGTTAATTTGAATTTGAAAGGGTGTACATTTTTTATACACCCTGTATAATTACACGTCTGCCTGATGTCTGCCTTAGCACTAACCATTATGACCGTTCTCTAATAAAAATCTTTGTAAACCATTACTGAAGTACGTCATAAGTATATAGTAACTCACATAACAACAACACGATAATACACGAAATAACATCCTGTTAGTTTACAACTGATTTGTTAACACTACTTTGAGCAATTCTATAGAATCACAAATATTATAACATCTCACAGTACGGCATGTGGATTGCAAAATGAAAAGCTAGATATTTATAAGCAAGATCATGCAGGTCAGCTTGTTCAGGACTGATTCACGAGGCCTTTTACGTGGGCGGATTATCTGGCAATACCATAGATATCTTATATATACACTAGATAGTGCATCTATTATTCTGCAATTCAAAAATTGAAGCCGTGATTGCAGTCTCAGGTCGTTCCCATGAAATGAGAAGATTCGTATGTTTTCTATTTCTTAAACAGGGAACTTAAACATTAAGTTAACCCTATTCCAAATACGTTTTTAAACTATTCAAATTATGGAAGTTATTGTTGTTTTTAAGTGTTTATTAGCAAGTGGGAACGACCAACATGGCCGCCATCTATTCGAATGGGGGTAACCGCTGGAATATTCTTGGCTTCAATTTGACTAAAAGAGATGCGCTATCTAGTGTATATAAGATATCTATGGGCAATACAGGGTGTATAAAAAAAACGTACACCCTTTCAAATTCAAATTAACTGTGAAAACATACATTTGAATAGAAAATTTAGGGTCTTAAATTAAACTTCGAGGGGGTCAGGATTTTTAATTTTTTTTATTGGATTCAACGTGACAAGATATTGCATCTTGAAGTCCCTCATGGGCGACTAATGTTTTGTAACACAATTAGTATCACCTATTGTAGTAATTTGACAGCCGTATAATTTCTCGAATGAATGAATGTGTCTTCTGCACATGAGAATTTAGGATAACTTCTATTTGTATGAACTATGAACAAATACACAACTCAAACAAAAATGTTTAAATTAAGCATTATTCAAGTCTGCATAAGATATAAAATGGGCCAGCTTAGTGCAGAGCAACGAATATTTAAAAGGTTATGGCTAATTTGAATTTGAAAGGGTGTATACTTTTTTTATACAGCCTGTACATGTAGGTCTAAGATGTTGTTGCCTAATTTGCATGTTCATTATATTCAGGACTTATTTGTGCAATTTCTTATACACTAGGGCGTAATTGCCCAGAATAGCAGGGACACATTGCGCAATTAACGCGCTGTTCCTTTCCCCCTCACCAACTAGATCTGAAAATACGTATAGGCTATTTTGAGGCAACGAGGGGATATGTGATTTATTCACCGAGGCGCGCAGCGCCGAGGTGAATAAACACATATCCCCGAGGTGCCTCAAAATAACGTAGTACTACTTATTTTTCACATTGAGAGGTCGCGCTAATGATTCAGATTAGAAATAATTCTTAATGCCATATTGCCTTCGTTATGTTGTTTTTTCTCATTTTTTGTGCTGCAAAGACATTGCAGGTGAATATTAGAGGGGATTATTAATTGCAGGTGAATATTAGAGGGGATTATTAAACGGAAATTGATTAGAGGGGAATATTGAATATATTCCCCGATAAGAACAAAGGAAACGAGCAGGGTGAAAAATACCTTTAGTTATAGTGGCGCGGTAACTTAAAACAGCCTCACTTTATGTTTGAGGCAAACTAATTCAGCATGTGCACCTGTGAATGCCATTCGTTCAGGGTGCAGCAGTTTTGAAAGGGATTTTGCAAGTAATTTTGCTACATTGTGGGATTTTTAGTGATTTTATAGGAAGTTTTGGGATCCGGACTTTGCATCAGGGTTTTCAAAATTTTTGGCGGTTTTTTCCAGATTTTTTTCCGAAAGATGTTTTGGGATGGTAGCATTGGTAGGTAAAAGTGTACGAGGTTCTTTGGAATAATTCACTCCTTGGCATGCAGGATCGTTTCTCAATTTTAACTTTTCTCAGTCTTAACTTTATTTTGTTATTCGAATGCAAGGCATGAACTTGTCATTTTATGTATTTCAGTGTTAACTCCATTCTCAAGTTCGTGTTGATCCTAACTATAACATAACCATAACGTAGGCTAATGCAAGCCTGATATAAACTTCTGCACAGTCATAAATATGGAAATTCACCCCATAAATATATTCTCCAAAGTTATATAGCTAGTATATGAATATATTTTAAGAAATAAACGTGTGTAGGTAAAAGTGTATAAAGTGCTGAAGGTTTTACACTGTATAGCGCATAAAGTGGATATTTGTAATTATTTTTTATCTATAAATTTCGGCGAACTTTCGAGTTTTTTAAATACACTATACAGAGAGGAAATTGGTGAAGTCACTCTTGTGAACGCTTTGGCTTGTTTATTTTTGCAGCTTTATATGCATCGAAGTGTTCACATAACTAATCCGATCAAGTGAGACAAAAATTATCACGAGGATTTATCAAAATTGCCAGGACTGATTTAAGGGAACAATACTAAGACGAAAGGCTTGTTTCAACGTATTGGGAAAATTTGCTCCTCGGGGGAAAATAACCGAGACTAGTTTAATCCTCTTCGAATTTTTGACAAAACAGTCATAGCAGTACGCATTCTAATTGTTTTATTTCTATGGAATATATACTTGCTTATATTTGGTAAATTAACTGCTAGGATTCAACAGAAGGAGTATTTAATTCACATTTTAAATCGCCAATGAGCAGATACACAAGCACTCCAGCCTACCTATATTTTGAATATGTACCTGTTAATGTAAAAAAAATATTGAAGAATTGTACAAACAAAAGCAGTCTACATGCAAAGCTATTTTAAAATTTAAAAATATTTAAAGATGTGATTAATGCTAAACAAGCAGTCTCACGAGTGTTATAATTTCGGACAATACACTACAGGTTGCTTCAAGTCGTATTTCCCTCATTTCAAAATGCAACGATCACGACAGCTGCATGAGTAATCATGATAAGCAGGAAACTGACTGCTGACTTTGCTGCACCAGACCTCTCAGCGCTACAAACATTTTTAGAACACTTGGTCAGACTGGAACATGGTCCGTTGTAACTTAACTTAGCTTGCACAAACTTGGTGAGCGAGCACTGCCACTTGTATCCGGTCGGAGCAAGGACGTCCTTTACGCTTTTGGCATCGCTGAAAGAACAAAATTTAAAACCAGCAGGTATGATGAGATAGGATTTCTGATGAAATGTAACGACTGTTGCCTTGCTCCGTTCTTGTGTGATACTGCCGGAGATTGTCGCTGTAGTGGATGCACTCACTTGCTGAGCGACTTCCCCGCTCACCTGAACAGTGGTCGTTGTCTTATCGATAAACGACGTGGAAGTGGACACCTCGAAGACGCAAGTGCCGTTCGTCCCGCCGGGACACGCAGTGGAGAATGCCTCGTCGGAGCATTCAATCCCGGGTCGTTCTGGTCCCGACAGATCATCGCAGTTGTAGACCGTCCACTGTACTGTGCCGTCCGATAGAAAATTGACGCGTATTTGGTTAGCAGCTTCTCCCCACGCCAACCGCTCTTTAGAGGAACCACAGAACCACGTCGCCTCAGAATGAGATCCCGTCAGCTTGATTCGAATATCTTCGCTTCGTTTGTAAACCTTTTGACTTGCAATTGTGATCACGGACGAACTTGAACACTTGTCACTGGTGAATTCGATTTCCTTACACTGAGCGGCTGCAACAACTCGGAGCATCGAGACCAAAACAACTGATACAATTCCGAGTGTGGTCAAGGTCATCGCCATCGTCGATTTAAGATTATCTAGCAGTGTATAAACTAAGATGTTGTCGTCCTTCCAAGTTCAAGGTGTTCTGTTTTCGGTGTTCTATGTTCGGGTGTATTTATGCGGCTTTTTTACGAAGTATTTTAAGGCGTAGTTTCCCCCGAACAGGAAGAAAATACAAGAGTGTTATCTATTTGCGTGCGTGTAATATAATTATCGAATTCCGGTCCGGTCGCAGTAATCTAGTCAAGTTATCTTTTATTGACTAAAAACACCTTTTGTTTTTCATTAAACAAAATACGACACTAAAGAGAAGTGTATATATATGGTAAAAACATAACATTACACGAAATAACATCCTGTTAGTTACAACTTTTTGTTAGTTACAACTTTTTGTTAGTAGTACGAGGTAAAAACTATACTAATGCCATGCAGGAATTTTGCAAACCGATTGAAATACAAAATGTCGGACGTATTTTCGCGGTTTTCTTAAGATAAGTATTTTAGGGGTAGTTTCCCCCGAATATAGGAAGAAAATAAGCGTGGGATCTATTTGCGTGCGTGCAATGTAATTATCGAATTCCAAATTTTCCCACCCTATTGTAATGATCAAAGTATGTTTTATTGGCTAAAACAGCGACCTTTTGTTTTTAAACTAAAAATAAAATAGAGAAAAAATGAAAGTGCACGACATTACTAATGATTCCAAAAACATATAACAGTTCACGAAATGATAACCCTGTTAGTTTATAACTTTTTGTTAGCAGTAATATAGGTGCATTTCAATAATCACATGGAAATATCATAACAGTATTGCCGATGGTAAAAAAAACCTACTGTATATTTCCTCCGCTAAACCGTAGTTCACTTTAGTTCTCGACAGGAAGACGCATTCTGCGCATCATTCAGACAGAAAGACACATTCTGCGTTTTATTTATAGACCAGACGCCCTGGTACACATTACACATTATGATTTTGTGGTATTCAGAGAGGCGCTCGGGTTTAATAATACACAGAAATAAAACCAAACAGTCTTTTATACTTTAAATGTGCTGTAGAAGAGAAACACTTGAAATATTATGAGTTTGCGTATAAACATCAATGCATGCATGGACATGAAATGATAGAAATATAGTTATAATTGTTTCATAGTTATTATAATTGTCCATTAAAATGTCAAATGGCCAAACTAAAATGTCCATTGCACATTTTAAATGTCCAATCTTCCAGTGGACAAACTGAAATGTTCAATCGTCCAGTGGACAAACTGAAATATTCAATCGTCCAGTGGACAAACTGAAATGTCCAATCTTCCAGTATAGACAAACTGAAATGTCTAATCTTCCAGTATAGACAAACTGAAATGTTCAATCGTCCAGTGGACAAACTGAAATGTCTAATCTCCCAGTGGACAAACAGAAATGTCCATTGGACATTCTGTATGTCACGATCGTCCAATGGACCAATGGACAGTGTCCATTGGCCATTTCATATGCTAACTCCTATCCACATGTCCCGCTTTGGAAGTACTTCATATTAGCTTGCATTAGCTATAGGTGGCACTAACACAGTATATGGGGTATACAGTATATGGAGTATACAGTATACACAAATTTCCAATGGACATTTCAAATGTCCATTGATCCGTTGAATGAACTGGATGTCTACTAATGTCCATTGGACAAATATGAAATGCATACATTGGACTTTTCCATTCGTCCATTGGACATGATGTATATTGGACATGTATGAGAATTTGTAAGTTAATCGATTTAATCTAATACCTATAAAATCTCTTTCTTGAGTTATATTTATCATTTAAAGACCCGGCGCGAGGGAGCCATGGCGAAATATTACCTGTGATAATATTTCCCAAGAGGATTAAAGTGGCACTCGCGTCAAAATTTTTATTTTCTTAAACGAAAATGCTCTTAAAACTGCATAGTGAGTTGTTATGAAGATTTTTGTTCCCATGCTTAGTTCTTGAGATATATTATCTTGTTTGTAACAATGTGACGTCAATGACTCAATTACATATATAATGAGATATTAGTAATTGTTGTGTATCTTTGCAATTTTTTATCAAATCTTTTCAAAGATGCGGCGCGTTTCTTAATTTAACCTACATCATTAAGCATACTGGGTTTTTTTAAACAAATCCATCAAAAACAGCAAAGATACACAACAATTACTGATGTCTCATTATATATGTAATTGAGTCATTGACGTCACATGGTTACAAACAAAATGAAATATCTCAAGAACTAAGCATGGGAACAAAAATCTTTAAATCAAGTTACTATACACTTTAAGAGCATTTTCGTTTAAGAAAATAAAAATTTTGACGCGAATGATATATTATAGATACAGCCTAAATGGTATATTATACCGAAAGTTAAAGAACCCACTGAGAATAAACTTGTTGAATAACTAAGTGAATACAATGTTTAATTTTTTATTTATACTCGAGTTTTTGACGTTCCCCCTTCAAAATATTTGAACCTGTACTCTTTGGATCATTGAGCGTAACATACTCCTAATATTCACATGAAAACCTGCAAGAAATCCTTAGCTCTCGAGTTTTTTTTTATTTGTTCCTACAGTGTACAGTCGACATATTCAGTAAAATTATGCTACGCGCGTGTTCGGCGAGGGATACAATCTTCCACGGCAGATCTGCCGTGGTATATTTATCACTTACTTACTGAGACCGAGGGAAACAGTGTGTTTTGTGGACCCGAGACCGTCGAAACATCGACGGTCGAGGGTCCACAAAACACACTGCTTTCCCGAGGTCTCAGTAAATAAGTGTTTTATTATATATCAATAGTCGAAGAATCAACAAATTAAAGAACAAATGAACGTAAATACATGAAATATTTTATTGTTAAAACGTTATATTAAACACTGGCTACACTGCAGTTAATTAAAGCGAAAGTTTTAATTACGTACTAGGCATGTACAAAGGTCGCATCTTCACGTGATGGCGCACGTGATTTTTTTTGTTATTCGCCGGTCGATAACGTAATATAGAGAGGTTAAGATACCCCGGTTCCGATATACGGATACGAGTATCGCCATTTTGTTTACCAATTTTTGCTGATGTCAGCATTTTTACCCGTAATTTCTACCCGTTTCCCCGCGGTAAACCAAGGTCTACACGTAAAAGACAAACAGGTACGGGTGTTTTCTGTTTACTATATGTGGGCCGTTTAAATAGTAAAAATTTTCAACATCTTACCCAAATAAATAATGCATATATGCTCGTCAAAATTTTCAACAATTTATGCGAACCTCAACAGCGAAAGTTACCATTCTCTGATCGGTTTTCGCACGCCGGAATATCTTGGATTTCTTAAGTTACAAGTCGTTCCCCGATTTACGGGTACGGGTATATCACCCGTACCGGTAAACCGGAACCGGGGTATCTTAACCTCTCTAATTATCTCCCTCTCGCGCTGTTGCGAGGGAGACAGCCTAATTTCGTCACTCTCACGTGATATGCTCTCAACCAATAAAACACTAGAAAAATGCGACTATTGATATATAATAAAATGATATATCCCGCTGTATTGCGTAATCATGGAATTGGGTTGAATGCAATCATACTGTAATTATTATGGTAAGAAAGTATCGTAAGGCCAAGAAAGTAAAAGTTACACAGTATTGTAATGGAGGAAAATAAACAACCACAAACTGCATTGTAAACAAAACGTCGGGGGAGGGGGGGAAAATAGTCCAGCACACGAGCACTGCTCGCAGGGAATGTTAAACAGCTCCAGGAAATTTGTTGTAGATTTGCAAGTTGAAAATTTGACGGAAACCCTAACACGTATGTCCTAACATGGGCCCAAAAAATTATGATTGACAGGCATCTTTCCCTGAACTTAAACCCATGGTCAACTAGGACACTAGGCGTTGACACATATTTAGCGCAAAAAAGATTACTTTGTTAGTCTGCAGGACATTTTTATCTCCAGGTTGTGCTCCCAGGAGGAAAATTATTTTCTGCAGTCCTGAATAACGTTGACTAAAAATAGATCGGGATAAAAATCAACGCAACACATTAGCAATTCGGTAAATATCTAAAACACTTAAAAATCTTACCTCCATATGGACTTTTTATCCTGTGGATATTTTGTCAAATTTCCGAGCAAGGCATAAATGGCAGCATGAAGACAAGCACGAGTTGACAGTTGACAATGAGAAAGAAGTTCACGCACGGCATCTCTGATTTCCCACGAGTAATCCTCCAATACACCCAAGATAGTCTCCAATTGATCTTCCCTCAGCACAACATGGCGACTGATCTTTCTCAAGCTATGAATGGCATTCAAACGAACACTTTCAATCTCGTCGTTAAACATATCGACGAGAAAATCGAGAGATTGTCGTGCAAAATCGGGATGTTGATCAGCAAGTTCACACAGAGAATCCACTGCTGCAGAGCGAACCTAATAACGGTGACAAACCTTTGATCAGAGTTAGTATTACGATGTACTACCACAAGTACTTCCGTAATCACTCTATCACAGGTAAGTTCCTCCTCTGAAAATCGCAAGCTCTAATAAGCCCCACTTTTTAGATCATAAATTAGGCCTACGCTCAAAAAGGCCCCTCCTCCATTCTATGATTAAGACCCATTTTTACACACGTAAAAATCTCATAACTCGTAAACAAGATGTGTTCGCAACAGGCTTGTAGCAAGGTTCTCAACAAGTTGTAACAATGTGTTATTTTATTATTATACTACTGTACAAGGTCGTCACTCACAACTTGTTGACAAATTGTTGAGTTGCAGGACGAGAACAAGTTAAGTTGTTGGAACAACTTGTAATAGGTCTGTTGAGCTCAACAACCTTGTAAGAAGTTGTCAACAAGCCGGGAACAGACAATGCAACACACATCTTGTTGAAAGTTGTTGGAACAGCATAGTTACAAGTCTGCAGCCGGTTTTGTATAGCTTGTGCGTTTTTACGTGTGTACATGAAGAAATATATTAAGCCCCCTCTCTAATAAGCCCCCTCTCTAATAAGCCCCCTCTCTAATAAGCCCCCTCTCTAATAAGCCCCCTCTCTCTAATAAGTTCCCTCTCTAATAAGCCTCCTCTCTAATAAGCCTCCCTTTCTAATAAGCTCCCTCTCTAATAAGCCCCCTCTCTCTAATAAGTACCCTCTCTAATAAGCTTCCTCTCTAATAAGGCCCCTTTCTCTTTTCAGCCCTCCTCTCTAATAAGCCTCCTCTCCTCTCTAATAAGCCCACCTCTCTAATAAGACCACCTTTTTGATAAGCTCCCCTCTCTAATAAGCCTCCTCTCTAATAAGCCTCCTTTCTAATAAACCTCTGTAATAAGCCTCTCTAATAAGCTTCCTCTCTAATGAGCCTCCTCTCTAATAAGCCTCCTCTCTAATAAGCCTCCTCTCTAATAAGCCTCCTCTCTAATAAGCCTCCTCTCTAATAAGCCTCCTCTCTAATAAGCCTCCTCTCTAATAAGCCTCCTCTCTAAGAGCCTCCTCTCTAATAAGCCTCCTCTCTAATAAGCTTCCCTCTCTAATAAGCCTCCTCTCTAATAAGCCTCCTCTCTAATAAGCCTCCTCTGTAATAAGCTTCCTCTGTAATAAGCCTCCTCTGTAATAAGCCTCCTCTCTAATAAGCCCACCTCTCCAATAACACCTTTTTCTGATAATGCCTCCCTCTAATTCTAATAAGTTCCCCTCTCTAAAAACCCCCCTCTCTATCTGAAGTCGAAACTGTATTTTGCTAAATCAATACAAGTCCCTCTCTATCAAGTTCCCCTGAAATATGTAGACCCACAAGGGCTTGATATATCATCTCAATTGGTTTGTAGTTCCTTGGTTTCCAAGAAATATTGCAGATTTGGATGAGTTTGCCAACCGTATATGCAGTTATGGCGCTGAGCTCGACGCTGACCATCCAGTAAGTAGTGGTGCATTCAAATGACACATCCGTTAGGATAAATTTGCAGTTGAACTATAACTGGGAGTTGAGACTGCAAGAATTAAAGTAAACATATCAAAGCTTCACTGTTTAATTGATAGACAATTTCAATTTGAATGTTAGACTCATTTTTGATCTGGGCAAAAAAAGTAAATTCCAGTAAAGAACTTATTAATGTTAGTAAAATTGCAAAATTTGGTTACGAAATGTTGTAAAACACGGAAAATATAGCCTTGCGATGTTTGCATATTTTGTGTATGTTTTGTATCACGTGCGGAAATTGTTACCATTTTTGAGCCGAAAATGTTAACAATTTCCGCACATAATACAAACATATACAAAATTTGCAAACTTTGCAAGGCTATATTTTCCAAGCTTTACAACATTTCGCAACCAAATTTTTCAATTTTACTAATTTCATTGTGTTCTTTTTAGCTGTAGTGTTTGATTCCCTTCGTTTTGCTTAGATTAAAATTTAGTCTAACATGCAAGTTATCCATTATCCATTTGATTATTCATGACGTCGCTGGAGGAAAAAATAGTTTCCGCATGGTTTACTCACTTTTTAATTATATTTTTCCTTTGCTTTTAAACCAATACAAAATATGATCAATCCAGCACAATAACTATTCAGTGAACAGTTCTTTGAACAATGAAACACTTTCATATGTAAATTTTTACGAAATAACCTCTTCCAACAAATACGTGTTGTGACGTGACGTACAAGAGCCCATAGCGAGCCATCTTCTATTGTAGGGTTTTACAGACGAGGTTTATCGAGCGCGAAGAAAAGAATTTGCAGATATTGCTTTTAACCATAAACAGTAAGTGACCTTCGAGCCTGCATATATGACTGTAGTGAAATATTGGTGAAACTATGGAACACTGTGCTAAAACCTCTTGCAGGCAGAGTATGTTTTAATTCAGAGCTTGAAATAACTATCGAGCATTTTTCGACCAAATCACAGTTTTTCCAACCAAACGCTAAATTGGTCGGACATTTTGTCTCCACAAAAAAAAACAATCAACCTTCTTGGAATACTTGGTTAACCATAGGCGGCATGCAATCCCCCCGTCAAGAACATTAAATGTAGAACAGGCTATAGTGTTTGGCTAATGTATTGTATATTGGCTTAATTTAACCAACGAAGGCATGAAATCAAAATAGAATGTCCGACCGAATTTGAAAGTTTCCAAACGACGTTATTTTAGGCTCTGTTATAGTTAGTTAGTTAGTGTAATAGTCCGGTCTGATCGGAATGCAGTCGGTTTGGAATGGTTGAGAACGCATTTGGAACTCAATAAGAGCGTCACGTAAAATAAATTCTTTGATTCTTGTTTCGGCCGCGTTTTCTGTCATCTGAACAGTCATTGTATTGGCGGCTTAAGTAAGCGATTTTGATGTCACTTCAGAAATTTGTATATAGGGACAGTGAAATTAAACCATATCGTTCAATTTCAATTTGTTTTCCTCGAACTACTGACAAGACTATTACATATAACGACCATCTGCTGCACGATATAGTGCTCAGTGAAAATGTGAATGTATTAAAAAAACTATATAATTCTATTATCTTCTTTTTTTAGTGGGGAGCCCATTCCAAATGTGACTTATACAAAGGCTGAAATTGAAACATGGTAAGCCGTTGAATAGTAAAACCCCGCATTTAAGAACCGAGAATTTAAGAACCTGTTAATGGCTGTTATGCTAACAATTCTTAAATTCAGAACCTTTTTAGATAAGAACCTGTTTAGCCCAATTTTCTGCAGGTATGCACCATGTCCATAAGGTCCTGTTTAGGGTAACTTGGAAAAATCTAGGTTCTTATATGCGAGGTCTTACTTGAAGGTCAAATAAATATCAAATATACAGTATAATTTGGATTTTTTTCTACATTTAGGAATACAATTTTTGGTGAACTAAGCAAGCTGTTTAAAACACACGCCTGCAAGGAACACAACGATGTTTGGCCCATGTTAGTGGAAAATTGCGGTTACAAGTAAGTCAAAAGTACAAAACAATAACGGGCATATACAGTATTTTATACCTGACCGGAAGCAGGTGCGAATGCTATGGGTCCTCCGGCAGAGATCCAACCTGCGCCTGTGCGATTCCTGTGCAGCGCTCTGGCCACTGAACTGCAGAGTGCAATTGCCAAGAGCTAACCACAAAGTTCTTGTACATGAGCAATGCCATTCTATAATATTTCTTATAGTATACAGGGCAGTCTTCAAGATTTTTTGGGGAATCTTGCTCGTCAAAAAGGAAAAATGTTGAATGTGTTTTGTAGAGGGAAGCCCTCTAAGCTTCAATTCAGTTCATCTGATGGTGACGATAAACGCACGCGACAACTAAGAGAGTTTGGTGAGAGAAGAAAACGGGGAAACATTCGACGCACAAGAGAGAACCAAACACAACTCCACTTACATGAGTTTTTACTCTCTGCAGTAGCTGTTTTAACTCAGATTTAAGGGACAGCGCGCCAACCACGATGCTTTAGAAATAAAGTTTACCGTTTATCCAACGTTTTCTCTTGACAGAAAAGATCAAATTCCGCAGTTGCAAGTTGTCTCAAAGTATTTACAAGGTAAAGCTGTGTTTATGCTGTTTGCCACGCAGATCTAAAAATGTGAATTGGGCTGTGATTAGTGTCGCTGCCATGGTTTAGTACTTTACTATTTGTGATAATTTAGTATTCCACCTTTCTGGCAGGTCGAACTGGATTCACCCTCCGACCCGTGGCAGGCTTACTTTCGTCACGTGATTTTTTGGCGGGTTTCGCATTCCGTGTGTTCCATAGTACCCAGTACATTAGACATGGCTCGAAACCCATGTACACACCTGAGCCGTAAGTTAAAGCTTCCACTGACCTCAAGAGTATGAAAGCTCCTGGAGTGCTTCGTTTGTATCTTTTGATACTTCATTTTGTGAAGATATTTATGATATGATATAAAGATATTTATTTTTTATAGCGATGTTTGTCACGAGCTTATTGGTCATGTGCCATTGTTTGCTGACCCTGCGTTCGCTCAATTCTCTCAGGTAAACATGAAATCCAGACTATAAACTTACTTTGGTTAGATCTATCAGCTCTAAACTATTCTTCCTAGAGGCCCATCCCGTAATTCTTCAATGTTACTACGGGAGGAAACTTAAATTTAACTAACTTTATTTACACTGGATAGTTCTATTAGATCTAAACTGTTCTCCCTAGAATTCCAGTAAGGCTTATCTCTTGAAGATCCAGTGTTACTACAGGAGGAAACCTAAACTGAACTAACTTTATTCATACTGGATATCTCTATTAGTTCTAAACTGTTCTTCCCAGAGGTCCAGTAAGAATACTCTCTTATTAATCCAGTGTTACTACAGGAGGAAACCTAAACTAAACTAATTTTAAAAGAACTAAACATACAAAGAACTTAAACTAATTTTATTTATACTGGATAGCTCTATCAGTTCTAAACTGTTTTTTCTAGAGGTCCAGTAAGGATCATAACTAACTTTATTTATATTGGATAGTTCTGTCAGTTCTAAACTGTTAGTAATCTAATTTATTTATTCTGGATATTTTTAAAATTCTTTCTTCCAATGATAACTTCTTTAGGAAATTGGCTTGGCTTCCTTGGGTGCTCCGGATGATTGGATTAAGAAATTAGCAACGGTACAGTATTGCAGCTTGTGCTACCAAAATAGTTTCAGAAAGTACTGAAACCAGTATACTACTTGTTTTTACAACATAGACGGATTTTCATATTTTTTACTGGGGTGGTGCAAGAAATTTTAGGGGGGTGAGCCGTGAGCAGGTGTCAACACAAAGTGTCACCAAACCCCAGTAAGGTCCATATTTTAGGGGTGGAGCCCTAGAGTCGCGAGGGGGAGTCTAGAGAGCAGAAAACAAAGTATCCCTGGAAAAATTTGAAAAAAATCATGATTTCTAGCTTCGAAAAAAAGTTTTTTGAAGAGTGTCATATCAATGGATTTGGCATGTCCGATTGTCTGTTGAGACTTGAGAGAGTTAAAATTAAATGAACCTGTAAAAGTGTAAACCCAATAGGCCAATACACAATATGCTTTTACTTTTATAAAGTCATTGACATTGTGTCGTTTGAATCCGAGTACAATTTATGATGCAACTCCGATGTAAATAATATTTGGGGCGTAAAGATTAAATTTAGGCAAATCTATTTCCTAAAAGAATTAAAAACTAAGAATAATGTTCGTAAAAATTCCAAACGTTCCTTGCAAGCAAGCTATTTGCATGACAAGGCACTGCAAACTCTATTCAGGGGAGATAATAGAGTTTCAAAACTTTACAATTGCTCCAATAAACCAGTGAATGCAAGCGAGGAGCGATTAGTTTCGGAGTGTTGCACTGTCTTTTTCTATATGAGTGTACTCCTACGTTTATTTTGTACCATCAACACTCTGAGTGGAGTGGACTATTTAATTATTTTTTTATTATGCCGAATATTGGGGGAGGGGGGTTGAAAATTTTTTTGGAGGGGTGGACATTTTGTTTGAGGGGGTTATAGCTAACACTGGGGGGGGAGAGGGGGGGGGTAGCACCCCCTGCACACCCCCACCCCCACAAAATCCGTCTGTGTTGTACAACACTATGGGATTGTAACTGGTGTAGCCTTCTTTTCTTCAGTTATATTGGTTTACTGTCGAGTTTGGTGTGTGTCGTCAGAATGGCGAGCTGAAAGCTTATGGTGCTGGGCTTCTCTCGTCTTTTGGTGAGCTGCAGGTTGGTCAAATATCTTGGATGATTAATCCTTCTGGTATATTACATGTAAGACGTTCACATTGTGCTTTATTTATTTAGTACTGTTTAACAGACAAGCCACAGTTCGGGGAATTTGATCCAGAAAAGATAGCCGGGACCGAATACCCAATCACAGAATATCAACCAAAGTACTTCGTCGCTGACAGCTTTGAGTCTGCTAAGGAAAAGGTCAGGTAAGGAGGCGGCGAGTGTCATGAAGAAACACATACTAAACTAACTTTATGCTGGATAGCTTTATCAGTTCTAAACTGTTCTTCCTATAGGTCCAGTAAGGATCATCTCTCATTGATCCAGTGTTACTACAGG